GGCAGATAAAATAAGAAAAAGAAAGGAGACAACATACATTACGAAATTGAAAGACAAGGAAAGGTCTGTAACTCAAGAAGAGGAGATAAGAGAACAGTTCTTTGAATTTTATAAGAAATTATATCAGGAGGAATATATAGAAGAAGAGGAGATTTACCAATATTTAACTAATCATAAGATTCAAAGGATTTCAGAGAAACAAAGAGAAAGTTTAAATAAAGAAATATCAGAGAAAGAAATCAAAGAAGCAATAAACAAACTGAAACCAAACAAAGCTCCGGGACCGGATGGAATATTGGTAATCTACTACAAGACCTTTCAACAGGAACTCTCACCTTACTTAAAGGAAATGATGAACGGAATAAGAATTTATAAGGAAATCCCAGAATCATGGAAACAAGTGAATATCTGTTTGTTACACAAAGAAAATTCGGATGAAGAGCAAGTTAAGAATTATAGACCAATCTCACTGTTGAATGTAGATTACAAGATTTTTAGTTTAATAATGGCGGAAAGATTTAAGTGGGTACTTAAACAGGCACCAAAATGAAAATGTGAGGACAATCGTGGATTTGATCGAATATTATGAAAGTAAGCATCAAAATAATGTTATTAGCGCTGGACGCGGAGAAAGCGTTTGATAAAGTGAATTGGAATTTTTTTAAAATTATAATGAAAGAAATGGATTTGGGTTTCTACTTTCAAAATGCAATTGAGGCCATATATGAAGAACAAAAAGCAAAAATCTTGGTAAATGGGAAAGAAACAGAGAACATTGAGATAAGAAAGGGAACAAGACAGGGATGCCCCCTATCACCTTTAATCTTTATTCTAACTCTAGAAGTATTACTAAATAAGATAAGAGAAGAAAAAAAATGGTAGGAGCAAAGATACAAGGCCAGGAATATAAAATCCGTGCATACGCGGATGATAGATAATAGCTAAGTTAAAATATTTAGGGATAATACTGACATCTAGGAACTTACATTTATTACAAAACAACTATATGGAAAAGTGGAAGGAGATAAAGAAGGACCTGGAAAAGTGGAAAAACATCAACTTATTGCTACTCGGTAGGATAGCAACAGTGAAAATGGCAGTACTCCCAAAACTGGTTTTTCTTTTCCAAAATTTACCAATTATAAGGAATAAGAAAATTTTAAAGGATTGGAACAAAGACATCAAAAGATTTATCTGGAAAAATAAGAAACCGAGAATCAGTTATGACAATCTGACGGAAAAAAAGGAAAAAGGAGGATGGGCGGCACCTGATTTAGAGCTATATTTGGAAGCGAATACATTAATTTGGGCCAAAGATTGGGCGAAATTGAAAAAGAAGAAATTATTAATACTGGAAGGGTCGGAGCTGCGAGAAGGTTGGCATACTTACGTCTGGTACAAGGGGGAAAAGAAAGAAAAAAATTGGTAATCATTTTATAAGGTCGACAATTCTGAAAATATGGGAAAAGTATAAAAAGAAATTGTACAACAAAACTCCGATGTGGGTATCTCCCTTAGAAGTGGGACAAAGACGTTGTACAGGCTGGCATGATTGGTTAAAATATAAGGACCTGTTAAAAACCGAGAGAGGTGGTTTTGAAATCACAAGAGGAACTAAACACAGTGGACCAGAAAGTGTCATGGTTAGAATATTGGACGATAAAAAAAAAGTATAAAAATGACAAGAAGATTGGTTTTAATCAGGTTAAAAAAATTGGGGATAATATAATGGAGTCAAAAAAGAATTTAATAACAAAGATATATAAAAAGTTGTTAGAGTGGAAATCGCTGGTATATGACACCGAAAAAATTAGGGAAAAGCAATAGAAGTACCAGCACAAAGTGCTGGAAGTGTAAAGAAAAGGAAGGCTCATACTTTCACATCTGGTGGACCTGTAAAAAGGCAAAAGAATACTGGAAAGAGGTTCAGAAAGAACTACAAAAAATCTTACAGATCAAAATACCATGGAAGGCAGAATTATTTCTCCTAGGGATGCACGAACTGAAAATAGAAAAAAATACAGACAAAATTCTTTTCCTGATAACAACGGCAGCAAGGATTTGCTACGCCAGAAGGTGGAAGCAAAAGGAAATACCAGACGAAAATGAGAGATTGACAAAAATTTTGGAAGTTAAGAATATGGACAGACTTACCTTTTTAATAAAAAGAAGTAAAGGAATGAACATGAAAGAAATGAATTGGGAAAAAGTGATGGAATACTTCAAGCAAAGGAAAAAAAAGATCCTGACATAATTAAGGATGAGAAGGAGGGAAGGAAGAGGAAGAGAAAGAATATGAGGAGAGAGGAAGAAGAAGAAGGAAAGAAGGTCAGAAGAGTGGTAGAGAAGACCTCGAGAAGACCCCAGGAAGTCAAATGCAAAGTTTACTCTTTTCTTTTTAAAACTGGCTTCGGGCTCTAAATCTATATTCTCTTTTTTCCCCTCTCTTTTACTTTCTTTTTTCTTCTTCTCTCTGTCTTTTTTCACACATCTTTTCCTTTTCGAGGATATACTACTTATACAACCCTATATTTTCTGGTAGCATCGGCTACATGTCTATATTTTAAATGTAAATTGGAAACTGAATAACGATTATTTAAAAAAAACAAATTTTCCCTGAGTATTTTAACAAATTTTGATTTCGGGCCATTTGGAGCATATATATTGCATATTAAAATGGACCCCGTACCTAAAGTTATTTTGACCGCTACGATTCTGCCTTCCTGGTCTCTAAAAGCCAGTTCTGATGAGATTCACTCATCGATATATAATACAACTAGGAAAATTCTATTATTCTTCAGCAGCAGAAAAGAATTGCTGCTGAAGAATAATAGAATTTTCCTAGTTGTTTTTGTTCTAAATGGGATATATGTTTTTACAAGATATGTGTTTCCTGTAAGGCAATAGCGTTATATTTACCACGTTTTAATTGGTTGAATAATCTTTTCCTTTTATTAGGGGAATTTAATCCATTTACATTGTTTGAGTAACAATTTATTTGATATGTGAACTCTGCCATTTTATTCTTCTATTGGTGCTACCTCCGACTCTTCTCCCTCTTCTTCGTCATCACCGTCCTCATTCGTGGATTGCATATTTGCCGTGGCTCCTTTTAGCTCCGGGGACCTGGATCTTTTTCTTTTTGGTTTTTTGCCCTTTTCCGCTGATTTGGGTGTTGTTTTTATCAGTTTCTCTTTTTCCAGTCTTTTGTAGAACTCCCTGGCCTTTTCCTTTGACGTGATCCAAAATTTCTCTCCCTTGTATGTTGTCATGATTCCTTCATGCTTCTCCCACCTAAATCTTATGTTGAGTCGCTTGAGCTCATCTGTCAAGAAGAAGTACTTTCTGCGTTTGTTCAGGACCGTAAGTGGGTATTCTTTGAGAATCATTATTTTAGTGTCCTTAAAAAATATTGGTTTTAGAGTGCTTTGTTTCAAGATGTCATCTTGGGTCTTTTTCTTTAAGAATTTTATGATAGTATCCTTGGGAACTTTGTTTTTCTTAGCATAGCTCGTTTGGATTCTGAAGACTCTGTCATAGCTTGTTCTGAACAATCTAGTATTTTAGCCGTTAATTTTATCATTATTTCTCTTATATTTTCATTTTCAGTTTCGATAACGTTCCTAAACCTTAGCTGGTACTCAATTTCATTTTGCTCTAATTTCTCCTGAAGTTTTTCTAATTTTGTATTTTTATTATCTAATTGCTCTACTTTTTTATATTTTAATTTGAGTTTTCTCTATTTTTACTTTTCTCTTTTTTTAAATCATTAATTTCTTTGCTCGTTTTTCCCAATTGGTATAAAGTAAAAATGGATGGCCATCTTTTGGGAGTGTTTTGATTCTGCCTTCCTGGATGGCCTTTGCTAACTCACAGAGCATGCCTTTTTGTCCCTTCTTTGAATACTGGACTTCATTTCCCAGAATGCCTTCCCATAACTCAGTATGGGTGAAGTTTGTGGGCACACAATCCCTGTGAGTTCCCAGCAGCCCAGCAGAGGCAGCGAGGGAAGAAGAAAAGGAACTCTCTCTCCCTTCCTCCCTCCCCCTCTCTCTCAATCCTTTGGGAAGAGAGAGGCAGGGGGTAGGCAGAGGGATAGACCAGCCATCTTTCCCTCTCTCTCTCTCAGCGGTTGGGTTTTTTCCCCTCGTGCAGGAGCGAGGGGCAAGGGAGAGTGTTCTTTTAACACAGGCTCTAAATAGGCATTTAGCCTTGTGGGGGTAAGTTCTTTCCAGTTAATTATTGTTTTTTTTTTTGAGTGGAGAACATAAATTGGGTTGTTAGGTGTATTGTGTCCAAATTTGGTGTCAATTCCCCAAGTGGTTTTTGAGTTCTGATGGTAGCACAAACGAACATTACATTTTAATTTATATAGATTACGGTCAATGTAGTTCAACTGCATCCAGAGAAACTGTGACCCCTAACGACAATGGACTGGGACCAAACTTGGCACAGAGAAGCCCCATGACCAACTGAACATACCACAGGGTTTTGTGGGAATTTACCATTTTGGGAATTGTAGTTCACCTGCATCCCAAGAGCACTGAACCCAGCCGACATTGGATCTGGACCAAACTTGGCACATTGACCCAACATGGCCCACTGTACATACAGGCTTGGTTTGGGAAGGATTACCCCATGATTCTGGGAGTTGTAGTCACCCACATCATTATGTATTTTCAAATGGGAGCATTCATAAACAACGGAATCAAAGACTGGCTTTTTTTTCTAATTGTGAACACCCCAAAACAAACAATGTCATTTTCAAATAACCCGGACATTGCCGGGTCCCCAAGCTAGTGATAAACTGAAAATAGGAGATGACATATTTGCCTGATTTGCAAACTGGAGTTCTCAGTGATGCCTGCGATTCACCTGTTGCCTCGCTCTAGACGCTATATGTGGATAGGCCAAATCACTATTACCGCCAAAGATCTTTATCCAGAGTTGCAAATTCGTCAGAGAGGCCACAAGTAACAAAAGGTCCTCAAACAAAGCAGTGGGAGCAAATATGTTTATTGACCAATTTGCATGCATGTATGTTGCTATAACAGCCACTGCGGCATGCAGCTGGGGCACAGGGCAACCAACTCAAAACATGCTCTCATGGTTCAGGAGGAGAGAAACCAGCTCCTCCCTGAAACTGGATCCTAACTTTGGCCAAATGGTAAGGAATGCAATGTTTTGAAGCTGGCAAAGAGATGGGGAGCAGTACTTTATCACAGTAATCAATAGTTTCCCCACATTTTGAGCTCAGGCTACTTCAATTATGCGTATTGGCACTGTGCAATGCCATCCTTAGTCACTGTTGGGAGATGGATTGACTGAAAGCTAATTTCCATGTATGGGGCCCTACTTTCTTTTCTCTCAGTCCTTATAACTCTGCATTTCAAGAGGCAGCAGTCAAGAGCGTCTTGGAAGTGACAAGGAAATAAAAGCATGCCTTAACCAGCTTTAAAGACTGCAGCACTCAAAATTTTTTTTTAAAGGACGCATGGTGGTAAAATGGCACAGAGGAGGCCCTTCCCCAGCAAAAGAGGATAGCAGAAATTATAGAAAGTCCTGTCTTCTCAACCAACACATTGCTCCCCTGTGGGACAGGAAGGGGCTCAATAAATAAATAGAAAATGTTCCAGTGCACCACAGAAAGATCTGTGGGCGATTGCACGAGTTCTGTCCATCCTGCGCACCCCAGAGAGGCTGTATTATCCTTTGCCAAACGCAGGATCTCTTCCTACACTTCGATGCTGGGGTCGGAGCCCAGGCCCTGCTTCTGCAAGAGCTCCTCTTGCTTCATCTTGGGCTTCTCTGTTCGCGTGTGCCAGACCAGGACCTGCAACAAGCCAGATACAAGAGAGTTTATTTATCTCAATTTGAGCACAGAAAGCCTTTCCACAAAGGAGGGCCAGGGTCTGCAGTGTGGTTTACGGAAAGTGAGGAGATGAGAGGCTTGAGAGGAACAGCCTTAGGTCTAGAGAGATTCATAGAAACTGGGAAATATCCTTAAGAGGTTATGAAGTCAGTTGGAAACTAGGCAAGTGAGGTTTATACATCTCTGGAATGTCCAAGGTGGAAGAAAGAACTCTTGTCTGCTTGAGGCAGGTATAAATGTTGCAATTTGTCACCTTGATTAGCATTGAATAGCTTTGCAACTTCAAAGCCTTGCTGGTTGCTGTCTGGGGGAATCCTCTGGATCTGATGGAGCCCCCGGTGGCACAGTGGGTTAAACCCCTGTGCTGGCAGGACTGAAGACCGACAGGTCGCAGGTTCAAATCTGGCGAGAGCGCGGATGAGCTCCCTCTATCAGCTCCAGCTCCTCATGCGGGGACATGAGAGAAGCCTCCCACAAGGATGGTAACATATCAAAACATCCGGGCGTCCCCTGGGCAACGTCCTTGCAGACGGCCAATTCTCTCACAACAGAAGCGATTTGCAGTTTCTCAAGTCGCTCCTGACACGACAAAAAACACTTTTAGTGTTGCTCTTTATTTATTGTCCTGATTTTAGAATTTTATTTAATACTGATAGCCAGATTTTGCTCATTTTCATGGTTTCCTCCTTTCTGTTGAAGGTGTCCACATGCTTGTGGATTTCAGTGGCTTCTCTGTATAGTTTGACATGGGGATTCCAGACAGGATACAGTCAGGGCCAGCTAACATCTCTCAACAAATGATTTCTCCAGGCAGGAAGCAGCCAGGCTTTGGGGCTGCAAGGCTATTCAATGCTACTCATGCTGGCCAATAGCAACATTCACACTTGCCTCAAACAGACAAGAGTTCTTTCTTCCACCCTGAACATCATTCCACAGATATATAAACCTCACTTGCCTAGTTTCCAGCAGACCTCACAACCTCTGAGGATGCCTGACAGAGATGTGGATAAAACGTCAGAAGAAAATGCTTCTGGAAAATGGCCAGACAGCCTGGAAAACTCACAGAAACCCAGTGATTCCAGTCATGAACGCCTTCAAAAACTCATTGGGAACAGCTGTTCAACAGCAGAAGATGCTGCCTTGGAGTTTCTTTCTCTGGTGGTTTTGAAGCAGAGGCTGGATGGCCATCTGTCGGGAGTGCTGTGATTGTGTCTTCTTGCATGGCAAGGTGTTGGACTGGATGGCCTTTGGGATCCCTTCCCACTGTAGGGTTCAATCATTAGCATCTTTGGAGGTTTTTAAGCAGAGGCTGGATTTATTTATTTATTTAGAGCATTTCTACCGCACCCTTCTCAACCCCCTAAGGGGGACTCAGGGCAGCTTCCAGCCGGCACATATTTGATGCCTACATTTAAACACAATACAATACATATCACAGTAATTATAAATAGTTAAAACATTAAATTATTACAATAAAATCTCATAGAAAAAGCCAGCTTGGTGGCCATTGTTTCACCGAGTTCCATAATTGGTGAGCCATTCAGCTTATCATAGTCCGTTTCCAAAGCTCATTGTCGTCATTTTCCTTGTCAATCTGCCAGATTACCTAAAGGCCTGGTCCCATATCCATGTTTTTAATTTCCTTCTAAAAGAGAGGAGGGATGACGATGATCTAATTTCCCTGGAGAGTGAATTCCACAGGCATGGGGCCACCACCAAGAAGGCCCTTTCCCTTGTCCCCGCCAGTCTCATTTGTGGCAAGGGCAGAGCCAAGAGCAGGGCCCCTCCAGAAGATCTTACATTCCTAGGCAGGACGTAGAAGGAGATACGTTCGGACAGGTATGTTGGGCCAGAGCCATCTGTCAGGAGTGTTTTGATTGTGTCTTCTTGCATGGCAGATTGGGGTTGGACTGGAGGGCCGTTGGGATCTCTTCCAACTCTATGATTCTCTTAAAGCATTTGGGAAGACGTTTTCCAGCCAAATAACATTTTTTAAAGTTCCTTAAGCTGTCTCCCATTAAAAGAAAATGTTTCTTCAGAGAATAGTGTTCCTGCCCCCTTTATTTTGAGCCAAGTCCCAACGACATGTGCTCCCCCCCCCCCCCCCGCTTCCCCTCAGGTCCTGAACATTGCCCTTTTGCCACTTGCCTTGGTGCAATTGTCAGCTTTGGGCTCCAGCTCCTCAATGGATACAAGTGACTGCAGCAGGCTGCTCTCCAAGTAGCCACGCTCGGCCAGCAAGTCAAAGCGTGCCTCCGGATTGGCCAGGAGCAGCTGAAGGGCCACCGCAAAGCCGGCCATGTCTACCGGGAAGGGCCGGTTTGGTTTCCACGCCGTGTAGAAGCCCACAACGTGGCTGTTCTCCACAAGCGGGCGCTCAAAGCGGAGTCCACCCACAAGGCCAACTGGCCAGACGGAGACGCGTTTGGTGGCACGGATCTGGAGGGAAGGAAGGAGATAAGTTAGGAAATGCCCAAGAATAATGGTCAAAGTAGATGATAGTATATTTAAGAAGAAACTATGTTCAAGATGCTAACATTGCAAAAGTAAATTATAGAAGGAATGCCACTTAAGCATTTTAAGCCTTGGAATTTCAGGATATGGAATTCGAAGCTGAGAAGGCTCTTTTGGAATTTTTGAAGACTACATTATGTAACGGAGCCCCCAGTGGATTAAACCGCTGAGCTGCTGAATTTGTTAACCGAAAAGTCAGTGGTTCGAATCCAGAGAGCGGAATGAGATCCCGCTGTTAGCCCCAGCTTCTGCCAACCTAGCAGTTCGAAAACATACAAATGTGAGTAGATCAATAGGTACCACTTCTGTGGGAAGGTACCAGCGCTGCATGCAGTCATACTGGCCACATGACCTTGGAGTTGTCTATGGACAATGCCAGCTCTTCGGTATAGAAATGGAGATAAGCACCAACCCTCAGGCTTGGACACGACTAGAATTAATGTCAAGAGGAAAACTTTACCTCACACTATGTAACAAAATTTGAAAAAAAATCTGTTCCTGGTTTGAAAGCATTATTTCCTATTTAATTGTGTGGTCCTTAGTTTGAAAGTGGTTGCTATGCTCCAGAAACTTCCTTTTTGTGGCTGTCACAAACTGTGTTTTATTGGTTGTGACTCTAGGAGAGATTCACTGAAAAACTAGAGCGAAATGTGTTGCAAGATTTTCTGCAAAAACAAAGTTTTGGGAGTTTAATAAACCTTTTCCGTGTTTTTATGATAGCACCAACTAGGAAATGACATTTATAACCAAGGAACAAAAAATGTGTTACATAGTCATATATATCGTAAGTATTAATTCATATATATGTGCACTGTATGTATGTGTGTGTATATATGTGTGTCTGTGTGTGTGTTGCTGATGTTTATTGTAAGAGATGGCACAGAAACTATCTCAAACATATCTGTAACTGACTGATAAGTTGTGTACCTGCTGAACACATGAAGGTCATGAGTAAACCAAATATGTTATTTTTTTTTCACCAAAGTCTACTTTGTTTTGTCTCATGAGTGCATACTATAAAACAAATTATTATATGGGAGAGTAGATATATTTTGGGCACTGAAAAACACTTCTGAAGAACGTCTATTTTTTATGCATTGCCATATTCTCTGCTTCTTAACAGATCAGAGACAATAGGTTACTCAATCTAACAACTGAAGCCAATTGCCTTGCATAATTACATTTGGTTGCACAATGTTCCCTCATTTATTGCAGGGGTTCCCTCACTTATTGCAGGGACCACCCGTGATAAGTGAAAATCTGTGATGTAGGGAAGCCCAGGCCCTACATCAGGCCTGGGCTTCCCTACAACGGTGCCCATTGGCACTGGCGTTAATGACGCTCAAGGGGCCTCCGAGGAAGAGGAGGAGGAAAAGGCAGAGGATGAGGGAGCGATTGGTGGGGATGAGAGAGAGGGCCTTCTCTGTGGTGGCCCCCCATCTCCGGAACGCCTTTCCAAGTTCCCTTCCAAGTAAGACAGGCCCCATCCCTCCCCTCCTTTCGTAAGAGCTTGAAGACCTGGTGGTTTCACCAAGCCTTTGAAAATGGCCAGTTCTAACTCAGCCCCACACATTATAAAATACGGCCTTATTCTTCCTACCGATTACCCAGATTCTTTCCTCTAATCGGCCCCAGAATGAACAGCCACGGACCTGTACCTAATATTATTGTTGCCTGCCATGGCATTGCACTTAATTCCCAGGCCACCTAGAATTTTTGGGCTTGCACAAATCTTGGCCAGGCCTTTTAAATTTTTAATTGCCTTGAACAGGCAGGATTACTCTTAATATATGTGCGTTATGGCAACAATTTTTATGTTTATATTTTGTTTGTTGATCTTATGGTTATGTTGTTTTTACTCTGTATGTTTTGTGATATTACTTGGGAACCACTCTGAGTCCCCTCGGGGAGATGGAGCAGTATATAAATAAAGTTTTATTATTATTATTAGTTGCTGCTGCTGCGCTGTTGCCGCCTGCTTCAAGTGCTCCGGGGCACTCTTCTTTTCCTTCTCCTTCACTCTTCTTCTAACAGTAAGCCTGGGCTTACCCTCTTCCTCCTCCTAGCCCGAATGGAGCAAGGCCTCCTGGGGCTCCGGCATTCTCCGATCCCACCATTTGCCAGCACTTGGCTCCCTCTTCCTCCTCCAAGCCGCGAGGGGGGAGGGAGAAAAATCCATGAAACAGTGAGTCCACAATAGGTGAACGGCGAACTAGTGGGGGAACACTGTATAACACTTGAGAAGATTCTACTCAAACAGATTTTTGGCTCTTCTCTAAAAGGTTATGACCTCTAAAAGGTCATGCTTTTCTTTAAAAAAACCTCTCTAGGGAGCAACACAGGCATGGCAAGATCTGGGTACTCAAGCTTCATTACATATCATTGTAAGACATCACTGATTTATATTACTGCATTTCAATTGTGAAATGCACCCTAATTTCAATACTGCCACCAAAAATACATAAGATATACCTGCATTTCTAAAATTTGCCCCATTTTAGGGACATTTACATAGGGGAAAATACCATATATTCCAGGGTACTAGATGACTTTTTAGGCATGTAAAACCTTATAAAATTTTGGGGGTTGTCTAGTACTCTGGGTATAAAATTAAAATAATAATAAAATTACATACTATGGCTGCCTTGGCCTCGGGCTCCCCTCCTCCTCCTCCTCCTCCTCCGCCTTGGCTCATGGCGGCCTCCCGGGCAGGTTCCCCATCCATCCTCCCTTCCTGGCTGCCTTCCTTGCTCAGGCCCAGGCCCCTCCTTTGTTGGCRGCCGGGCCCCTGGGCTGCTTCCCGCGCTGCTCAGGCCACTCTCCTTCCTGGCCAGGCCTCACGAGAAGCTCCTCTTCTTYGGCAAGACAACATTGTCTCGCGGGAGAAGAGGCGCTTTGCATGAGTCCTGGCCAGGAAGAAGCAGAGTGGCCTGATCAGAAGGGCCTCCGGCGCTGCTCAGGCCGCTCTCCTTCCTGTCCAGGCCTCACGAGAAGTCTCTTCTCCCGAGAGACAACATTGTCTCGCGGGAGAAGAGGTGCTTCGCGCAAGTCCTAGCCAGGAAGGAGAGCGGCCTGAGCAGCGCCGGAGGCCCTTCTGGAGGCGGTGCAGGAAGCAGCCCAGAGGCCCGAGGACAGAAACCATCTAGCTGGTTTGGGGAGCCGTCTTAAACAGCAAGTATATCCCCAACTCTGTATTTTGTATGTAAAAGTTGGGGGATCGTCTTAGAGCCCCAGTCGTCTAGTACGGTAAGTGAATCTTAGAACGAATGAAATACAGTGTATTATGGATGTTATATCAAACCCAGTGTAGGATATTCATTTCCTACTCTTAAGTTATATCAGCGGCAACATTTGGAAATCTTAAACCCAAAGACCGTATCCCAGAGTGACTCTCCACTGCATTTATTCTTTTCTCCTCCCCATCTCTAATTCTGTCGCATTTCTTTTTCCCCACACTGACTTCGTCAAAGAGTCGGAGGCTGTAAGTGTTGTCGTCGTCCGCAAAGTACACCGTCCCCTTATAGTGGAGCTCGCGGTTCTTCCGGAGCCACTGCAGGGCCAAGTTCCGCTGCTCCACGCCTCGGGGCTTCAGCCAGTTGGGGTCCCCCTCCTTCAGTTTGTGGTTTTTGGGGGTCTCCACATAGAGGTGGGTGAAGCGCAGGCTGCTCTGGGACAGCAGCTCCGAGACCAGTGGGGTCTTTGCGGGAGCATCCTCTACCACGATCCAGTGCAAGTTCTTGACGTGCATGAGTGTCTGCGAGAGGCGCACGAGCTCGGCCTTTTGTACCAACCTACGGAGACAAGGAAAGAATCTATCACCAAAGGATCTATCACCAAAGATGGTGACAACATTTTACTATTGGTTTTCTGATTTAGAGAAATGCCTGAAGGCTTTTAAATAGAGGCCAGATGACCATCTTTTGGGCAGGCTTTGATTGTGCCTGGGTGAATGGGGTTGGACTAATTATATGGATCATTGAGTGAGAGCTAGGCAATCTCCAGTTACAGGGAATCGGCCAATATACCTTGCATATGTTGGGGTAATCACATAGATAAAAGGCACGGCTGGCTCTGCCGGCTCTGGTGCTTTTTCTCGTCCTTGCATCCGCTTCAGTTCATTCTGCATTTGGGAGAGCTTCTTCTCCTTGTCATGGATCAGGTCGTTGGCTGACTTCAGGTGCTGGGTGCAGTCACAGGGCTGTCCTGAGAGCAGAGAGAAGCAGCAAAGTATTGCAACAATAATATTCATGTACATAAGCTTTTCCCCATCCTGGGTCTTTGGATGCTGCAACTCTTGCCATTGCTAGCCATTAGCCATGATGGTTAATCATTAAGCTAGGACAGGTTGAAGCTATAATCAGAATACAGTTGTTAGATGCTGTTAGGAAGACTGTGTCCTGCCTTTAGCACTGTAAACGTAAGATTATCCCAGGTGAAGTCTGACCAAAAACAGAGGAGAGTGGGATTATGACTTCCTACGATAGGGACACAATATATTCTCATCAACACAGCCAAGAATTGCCTTGTTAACACTCACCCAACTGCAGCAGTGCATACATCAGGCCGGACAGAGACACCAAGAAGTAGACGACAAAAACATTTTTCAACTTCACCTTCATCATGGCATCTAGGGAAATAAGGGGCTGCATAAAGACACTGCCCTAATAATGATTTAGGTGGCTTGAAGGTGGGCTCAGTGACACAAAAACATAGAATCCTAGAGTTGGATGAGACCCCAAGGGCCATTCAGTCCACCCCCTTCTGCCAGGCAGAAAGTCACCATCAAAGCCTCCCCCCCCCCCCCCCCCCCCGGACAGATGACAATCGATCATCTAGCCTCAGCTTAGAAGCCCCCGAGGAGACTCCACCACCATCATTATCATGAATGATAATTATTATTACTGCTATTATTATCGAATCCTAGAGTTGGAATAGCCCTCCTGACGAACAACCATCCAGCCTAGGCTTAAAAGCCCCTGAGAAGGAGACCCTGCTACCACCATCATCATGAATGATTATTATGGTTATTATGGAACTTTGTTGGGCAAGAGAGACCCTGGGGCCTGAGTATTGCCATCTAGCTGACCCAGCAGCCTCCAAGGAGAGAACATAAAAGGTCTGACCTAGAGGCCTGGAAGAGCTTTGTTGGGCAAGAGGGACCCTGGGGCCTGAGTATTGCCATCCAGCTTTGCTGCCAGCTCAGCCCTGGGCTTACCCACGAGGATACCTGCAGCCACACCCTCATTCCAGCCAGCTGACCCAGCAGGGAGGGAACATGGCCCCCGCAGCCTCACCACGCTGCTACTTTAATGGCTGCGCCACCCATTGCCCGGCTGCCGGAACACCTGCGAAGGGGGGCCTCCATGGCCACGCTGCCCATCATTTGGACATTGGAACACCTGTGTGGGTGCTTGTTTTCCAGGTTCCCCTGCCTCTCCTGTTGCTTCTGACTACACATTGGACTAGGAAACTAGGAAACTAGTCCAATGTGGGCTAGGCAAAACTACGGTGAGGTGGATCTGTAATTGGTTAAGTGGACGAACACAGAGAGTGCTCACTAATGCTTCCTCTTCATCTTGGAAAGAAGTGACAAGTCGAGTGCCGCAGGGTTCCGTCCTGGGCCCGGTCCTGTTCAACATCTTTATTAATGACTTAGATGAAGGGCTAGAAGGCATGATCATCAAGTTTGCAGACGACACCAAATTGGGAGGGATAGCCAATACTCCAGAGGACAGGAGCAGAATTCAAAACGATCTTGACAGATTAGAGAGATGGGCCAAAACTAACAAAATGAAGTTCAACAGTGACAAATGCAAGATACTCCACTTTGGCAGAAAAAATGAAATGCAAAGATACAGAATGGGGGACGCCTGGCTCAAGAGCAGTAAGTGTGAAAAAGATCTTGGAGTCCTTGTGGACAACAAGTTAAACATGAGCCAACAATGTGATGTGGCAGCAAAAAAAGCCAATGGGATTTTGGCCTGCATCAATAGGAGCATAGTGTCTAGATCTAGGGAAGTAATGCTACCCTCTATTCTGCTCTGGTTAGACCACACCTGGAATATTGTGTCCAATTCTGGGCACCACAATTCAAGAGAGATATTGACAAGCTGGAATGTGTCCAGAGGAGGGCGACTAAAATGATCAAGGGTCGGAGAACAAGCCCTATGAGGAGCGGCTTAAGGAGCTGGGCATGTTTAGCCTGAAGAAGAGAAGGCTGAGAGGAGATATGATAGCCATGTATAAATATGTGAGAGGAAGCCACAGGGAGGAGGGAGCAAGCTTGTTTTCTGCTTCCTTGGATACTAGGACGCGGAACAATGGCTTCAAACTACAAGAGAGGAGATTCCATCTGAACATGAGGAAGAACTTCCTGACTGTGAGAGCCGTTCAGCAGTGGAACTCTCTGCCCCGGAGTGTGGTGGAGGCCCCTTCGTTGGAAGCTTTTAAACAGAGGCTGGATGGCCATCTGTCAGGGGTGATTTGAATGCAATATTCCTGCTTCTTGGCAGGGGGTTGGACTGGATGGCCCATGAGGTCTCTTCCAACTCTTTGATTCTATGATTCTACTTATTCCATCAGCCCACTTTGGATGGGATTGAATGTTTACTTCTAAGCTTTTTAATATTTATATTTGAATTACTTCTAAGCTTTTTATTGTATTTTTATTCAAATTATTATGTCATGTTTATTATTGTATGTTTGGATTGATATGTTAATTGTTTAAATTGACATGTTTATTATTATATGTGTAATGCAGCATTGTATGCCATGGATTGTAAGCCGCCCTGAGTCCCCCACTGGGGTGAGAAGGGCGGGATATAAATGTAATAATAATACTTTATTTATACCCCACTACCATCTCCCCAAGGGACTTGGTGTGGCTTACATGAGGCCAAGCCCACAGCACATCAATAAACAAAGGCAATAACAAATAATCAATACAAACAGTTAAAATAAAACTCAAAAACAAAAACACACAATAAGCAATAACAATAACATACAGCATTTATGTTGGGCATGAACAAGAGAGGGGAAACTAGGATAGGGTTTTCAAATAAAGAGGAGGGTGCGCAGACAATCCTAATAATCAATATTAAAGTGCATTTGTGGACATATTGCTAAGAGTTTTCCTTATTCTGGGAAGGCACACTGAAAAAAACTACATAATAATATTATCGAATCCTAGAGTTGGAAGGCAGGAAGACACCTACAAAGCCCTCCCGACTGATGACCATCCAGCCTCGGCTTAAAAGCCCCTGAGAAGGAGACTCCACTGCCACCACCACCACCATTATTATTATTATCTAAGAGTATTATTATTATACATTTGGAGGGAGACCCCCATCATCATCATCATCAATATGGATGGTTATTAGAAGAGAATCCTGGAGCTGGAAGAGCCCCCAAGGGCCATCCCGCCCCCCCCTTCTACCAGGTAGGAAGACCCCGCCCAAGCCCTCCCACAGACGGCCAAGCCAGCCTGCAGGCCTCCTCTGCGGGGACGAGGCGGAGAGAGAGGCAGGGGCGCCCCTTCCTCGCCTTGGAGGCCAAGCCGGCTCCTCTCCCCCCTTTTCACGGCCCGAACCTAAAGCGGGGCGGCGGGGCGGCGCTGTTACCGTGGGGACGGCGCCGGGGCCAATGGCCTGCCGCCCTCTCCGCGACCCCGGCCGGGCCCTTCCCCCCTCCCTCCGTCCTGACCCACCCGGGCTCCGCGCAGCAGCGCCTCTTTCCCGCGATGCCAGCCATCACGTCACTTCCGGTCCCTTGGCTTTCGCACTCCTCCCGCTGTCCCTCTTCTTAGGAGCGACTTCCGGTCTGGGCTGCCTCCCCTATTGCTGCTGGCTTTACTACAGGCACGAGCAAACTTGGGCCCTCCAGGTGTTTCGGACTTCAACTCCCACAATTCCTAACAGCCTCAGGCCGCTTACGCTGAGGGAAAGGAAGGGGCCCGAGGCTGTTAGGAATTTTGGGAGTTGAAATCGAAAACACTGGAGGGCCCAAGTTGGCCCATGCCTGCTTTAGAATGGACTACCATTCCTTCAACACTATTATTTCTTTTGCATGGACAAGGGAAGGATGGAAACTATAGTTAGAGACACCAAAGGCCACTCAGCCCAACCCCTTTCCTGCCATCAAGGAATAAACAGTTCGAGCCCTCCCGACAGATGGCCACCCAGCCTCTGCATACAAACTTCCAGAGAAGGAAACATTTCATCACTAAACAGCTCTTACCATCAGGAACTTCTTTCTAATTTAAAGGGGGAACCTCCTCTTCCTACAATTTGAATCTATAGCACACTAGAGTCCTATTGATGCAACCTAGAATCACAAAAACCTAGATGTGAGAGCTGGACCATAGGGAAGGCTGAGCAAAGGAAGAGAGATGCTTTTGAACTGTGGTGCTGGAGGAAAGTTCTGAGAGTGCCTTGGACCATGAGAAGATCCAACCAGTCCATACTTCAGGAAATAAAGCCCGACTGTTCATTGGAGGGAAGGAGAGTAGAGGCCAAGATGAAGTACTTTGGCCACATCATGAGAAGACAGGAAAGCTTAGAGAAGACAATGGTGCTGGGGAAAATGGAAGGAAAAAAGGAGAGAGGCCGACCAAGGGCAAGTTGGATGGTATCCTTGAAGTGACTGGATTGACCTTGAAGGAGCTGGGGGTGGTGACGACCGACTGGGAGCTCTGGCATGAAGTCCCAAAGAGTTGGAAACAACTGAACAAATGAACAACAGAATCACATTGGTCTTTTTAGCTGCATCACACTATTGCCTCATGTTCAGCTTGTAGCAAACTAAGATTTCTATATCCCTTTCATGTAGACTGTTCCCAAGCTCAGTGCCCCCAATCTTATATCATTTTTATTTCCAAAGTTTCCTTTTATTTCCAAATACATTTATCCCAGTCGAAGTTCACTTTAATATGTAACTTTTTGAATTCTGATCCTGTCCTCCCAATCCGGTGTCAGACTGGATCAGCTTGTGCTGGCAGGACTGTTGGCCGAAAGGTCGGTGACCCAAATCCGGGGAACGGTGTGAGTTCCTGTCTGTCAGCTAGTTTCTCATGCGGGGACATGAGAGTAGCTTCCCACATTCAACCATCCCCTGGCAATGGCCAATTCTCTCACACCAGAAGCAACTTGCAGTTTTTCAAGTCGCTCAACACACACACGCATACAAAAAGAAACAAACGAAAAATTCTACATTTAGGACACAAAAAACTGATATACGAGGGGCGCTCATTAAAGATTTTCCCTGACCCACTTCCTGTGGACTGAGAGCAATGAAACTTGGCACAGTGATTAGTCCTCTCCATCGGTACCACCTAGGGACACACACTTCTCCCATCTTTTAAAGTAGGTGTAAACACCACGCTTGGAGAAGTCAAAAGGTTGCTCCGAAAGCCATGTTGTGACTCTGGAAAGCAGTCTCATCATCTGAAAAATGCTGGTCCTTGCACCTGTAAAATCAAGACTGTTATCAGTTCTGAATTGTAAATTGGCACATAACTTATATGATTACACATGTGCAGTTTCAGCATCCTGTAATAAATAGAAGAGGGTCAGGGAAAATCTTTAATGAACACCCCTCATAGGACACATGACAAAACAAAGCAACCACCCTGCCTCTGATATTAGGAATATGAGCATTCAACAAGACACTTTTGTAGGGTTTTCTTTCTTTTTTATTCTTGTCCATCATTTATTTATCAAAACATTAAATCAGTAAAAGCTTTACCTGCAAATGAAGTAACAAACAATGAAGTGTGTGAAGGAGGAAGGTTGACTTTTAAAAATGCTGCCAAAAACATAAGGGAAAACCAGCCAGAAACAGGAATGTTAATCGGTGGACACATAAAAGATGGCCAAAAGAGCCACACAGCAATGAGAAATAGAAGCAGGAGGGAGGAGGGCAGAGGAAGTACTGCAACAGGGAAGTTTTTAAAAACAATCAAGCTAGTTATCCTTCCAGGATGGGCTTCCTCCTCCTTTTTTTCTAAGGAGAGGGGCAATTTACATAGCAGCTTGCTTCCTCCTTCACCGTGTTTTGTTTTTGGCTCTTTATAGAAATAACAACAACTTCAGTTCATCCCGATTAGAAAACCAAGCACAAACCTTTAAATCCTCACATGATTTCTGTTGTCCTGCATCAATTATATATAGAAGTGACAGTGATTCACTGACACCATGAAACCAAACCATTTTTCAAAATGAACAGAATATGGGATGAAGTGGTGAGAAAAAGAATGTTGGCTATAAAGTAAATCTTGGAGGCAGTGAGCAAAGAGATGATATGAGGGACATGATCAAACTATGGAATGGAGAAGGGCAAGCAACAACAACAAAAAATGGAATACATTCACCTTTTGTCAAGTAAAGGAGGCATGTCTGGATAAATTGTCTACCATTGCTGTAGAGCAGAGGTATCATGCTCATGGCCCTCCAGGTTTTTGGGACTCCAACTCCCAGAAGTCCCAGCCAGCTTGTCCAATGGCCAGGGATTCTGGGAGTTGAAGTCCAAAATACCTGGAGGTTGAAGAGAGCTGCTATAGCAGGCGTGGGCACAGTTCAGCCGTCCAGGTGTTTTGGACTTCAGCTCCCACAATTCCTAACAGCCCACTGTTCAAAACAATTTCAAAACATCTGGAGGGCCAAAGTTTGCCCATGCGCTTGCTATGCAGATTGAGCTAAGAAACTCCTGTCAGGAAATAGTTCTGTAAAGGTAGAATTTAAAATAAAATTAACAAGACCACTGATAAGGCAGAGGAGGCGAGCAGATTAACTATTCCCAATTACTGCGGACATGTGACGTTTCTCAAAAAGCTGACCCTGATTTTGCATCTCTGGGAGGAGTATAGAGAAGGAAACCGAATCACAACAAACTCCCCAACCCGGAGCATTTTCACTTCTACAGCAAATATTGCTAAAAGTTAAATCTATGGAACCACCTGAAAAGATCAAGAGGTCAAACCGGGATCAGAGAAGGGAGCAATGGCTGTTCCTTCTCTGCGTGGCAGGAGACGTGGGGCTGGAGACATGACAGATGGGGAGCCACCAGCCTTCCCTAGCTATATTCCAGTGACAGGTGACTGCTTCAAAGCTCCCGCACGCTGCGTGTCTCTTTCTTCATCCATCTGGCCACTCATAACCCCCCACCCCTGCCCCATGGCATTATTATCGCAGAGAGATGCTCCAGTCTGCCCCGATGTTGACTGCAGGTTTGCGGATGGTTAAAACAGATGTTTCCGCCTCATGGATAAAGTCTAGGCGGGTCTCTGCTGCACCTGTTGGGGAGCAAGGATGGGAGTAAGATTTTATTTTTTATTACAAAACATGGTGTGTGTATATATGTAATACTGGTTTTAAAGAGTGTTCTAGGAGGATTATATGTCCTTTTTAATAAAAAAAAGGAGGAGTGGAACCACTTTTTTTTGCAAGGGAAGGGTTCTGTATGGGCTCTTAAGAGATTGCAATCACTCACCGTCTTCTTTGAGGAACACTGCTGCTGGTTTCCCGGCTCCCAGGATTACCACCCGTTCAATCCAAGCCGGTGTTTCAAAGTGACCCTTTGGATCAGCAGAGCTGGAGAATTTATTTATTTATTTATTTATTTATTTATTGCATTTCTATGCCGCCTTTCTCAGGCGACTCAAGGCAGCATACACTGGCACAATTTGATGCCACAATGAACACAAACAAAATTAAAACAAAATTAACACACATTTATAACCCTGTAAAAAGCATTAAAAGCATAAAACACCAGTAGGAGGGGATGTGATGCCATGAACAAGGAGGAGGAGGAGGAGGAGGAGGAGGAGGAGGAGGAGGAGGAGGAGGAGGAGGAAGAGGAGGAGGAGGAGGAGGAGGAGACGACGACGACGACTACTACTACTACTCTGGCACAAGCTTTTAAATGTGGTCCCAGTGGTGATTGGGATACTGGGTGCAGTGCCTAAAGACCTTGGCCTGCACTTAAAAACAATCGGTGCTGACAAAATTACCATCTGTCAGCTGCAAAAGGCCACCCTACTTGGATCTACATGTATTATTCGCATCAGCATAGTAGACACTTGGAAAGTGTCCGAATAGTGATCATAGAGACAGCATAGTGATCTTATTTGCTGTGTACTAATCTTGTTATGGGTCAAATAATAATGATGATGATGATGATAATCTTTATTTATAGACTGCCCTATCTCCCCGAAGGGACTCCCTGAAGGGACCCCCCGGTGGTTTCCAACAAATATGGCAACCAATGAATGCCAAAAAGAACCTATACAAACAATTTACATCAAAACAATGCACATTAGACAATATAAAACAACCTAACTGTAACTTAATAAACAAAAATAAATAAATAAAGACATCATAAAATACAAAAAAAAACATGATAAGACACACTAAACAAAAAATGTAAAACCAATTTCACTGGAGCTCCATCAGGCGAGGTTCAGCAATACCAGTTGTCAGGAGTACTAAAATAGATGTGATCAACTATAAAAGGGCTGGGTGAGGGATAGTGCAAACAATGTGTCGTAGGGCCGGGGAAGTGGATGAAGTGCAGAACAGAGTACTATCTGGCTACCTAGGGACTGGGCCTAGGGACTAGTCATTCTTGAAAGCTTTCTGGAACATTATGAAATCAGAAACAGTTAATGTCATTCTTTTCCAAACCATGGTCATCCAGATTGACTTGTCTGCATATACTGACTTTGCTGACTAAACCCAATCTAAAAGAAGGCACAAAACTGGGGAAAGTCTGCCGTATCAGATTGCCAAGAAGAAATGCAAATTGATTGTCTGTGGGCAGTAGAAAGGGAGACATTGTCCCCAGTCCAGCAGGTTTGCAAAGTGATTTGGGGCTCAAAAAGCTTTCCAAGATGATTTACAAGTTTAAAAGCTCATACACATTTTATGGTTTTGGCACCTGATAGTTGAACAACCGATGAGTTTGGGTTGTTGTAGGTTTTTTTGGGCTATATGGCCATGTTCTAGAGGCATTTTCTCCTGACGTTTCACCTGCATCTATGGCAAGCATCCTCAGAGGTAGTGAGGTCTATTGGAACTAGGAAAATGGATTTATATATCTGTGGAATTACCAGGGTGGGACAAAGGACTCTTGTCTGCTGGAGCTAGGTGTGAATGTTTCAACTGACCACCTTGATTAGCATTTGATGGCCTGGCAGTGCCTGGGGCAATCTTTTGTTGAGAGGTGATTAGATGTTCCTGATTGTTTCCCCTCTGTTGTTGTAATTTTAGCGTTTACTGGTAGCCAGATTTTGTTCATTTTCATGGCTTCCTCCTTTCTGTTGAATGAGTTTATTAAGTTAATCAATTACTAAACACATTTGCATAAACTTGCATTTGTGAAAAATATTATCTAAAACGTTCAAGACAATACATACATAGCTGTCACCAGCAGATACTATGAGAATGCCCTAAGGTAGGCATAGGCAAACTTTGGCCCTCCGGGCTTTTTGGACTTCAACTTCCACAATTTCTAACAGCCAGTAGGCTGTTGAAATCCAAACACCCAGAAGGCTGAAGTTTGCCCATGCCTGCCCTAACCTGAAGTGGTAATGCCCCCTCACAAGTTAATACTTCTAGAAAACTGGCAACAGTGAACACAATAAACAGAGAGGGATTGCAATTTACAAGCACACCCAGTACCTGGCTGTCAAGGTGTTTCCAGAGAAATTGAAGTGTCGATGCAAGTATTCTCCCTTTGTCTTGAAGTTAAATGTGTGCCCATCATCAAGGAAGAGGTTGCCTTGTGCTGTGCCCTATTTGAGGAATGTTATACATGGAAAACTCTGGCATCCCAGTAAATTAAACCCAGTCCCATGCTAACAGTAGAAACAGTAATAATAATAATAATAATAATAATAATTAATAACAGCAACAATAAATGGTTATTACTGTTATTATTACCTGGCCCACCATTTTGAAAATTTTGAATTGTTAACAGGTGGCCCAAAATTATGAAATATAGGGAGCGACTCCTCAGTTGAATATGCGCCGATGTCCCCACTTACCTGTGGGCCCAGGGCCACATAGAGGGTATAGGGATCACTATGCATGCAATCAGAGGACCGCCGCACTCGCTCCTTCCTAGCCACGATGCTCCCACCACGCTGATACACAGGGATCTGTAGAAAGAGCACCATAAAACCAAGCTGGCTTTCACTTGGAAAGCGGAGCCTGAGAATACCTTGCAGGCCACAGATGAAACAACTCTGACCTACATCCAGGGGTTGAATAGCAGAACTCCCATGGCCCTAACCAGCTTCTTTACAAGCCCTCAGGGAATCACAATCCACACATTCAACATTCCCTTGCTAACTTACGCTGTTCATGGTAACAGCTAAATAATGGGTTTGGGGCGCATGGAGTTTCTGGTGCGTGTGGACGTCATACCAAACCTGCAAGAAAAAAAGGGAAGTTAACAGAGAGTAGTAATGTGTGTTGTCATCCTGGCTATACAAAGAATCTTAGAGAAGTATTGGGGATTTTGTTTTAAATAGAAAGGTGAGAAGACTGTGGCATATGTTTACACAAACTCCATAGATGGGTTGTTGTAGGTTTTTTCGGGCTATATGGCCATATTCTAGAGGCATTCTCTCCTGACGTTTCGCCTGCATCTATGGCAAGCATCCTCAGAGGTAGTGAGGTCTGTTGGGACTAGGAAAATGGGTTTATATATCTGTGGAATGACCAGGGTGAGACAAAGGACTTTTGTATTGTCGAGCAGGGACGCAGGGAGCACACAACGCCCTTGTTGTCCCAGCTCCACTGGCTGCCGATCTGCTACCGGGCCCAATTCAAGGTGCTGGTGTTATCCTACAAAGCCCTAAACGGTTCCGGCCCAAAATACCTTTCGGACCGCATCTCGGCCTATGAGCCCACGAGGGCCTTGAGATCATCCGGGGAGGCCCTTCTCTCGATCCCGCCCGCCTCACAGGCACGTCTGGCGGGGACGAGAGAGAGGGCCTTCTCAGTGGTGGCCCCCCGGCTGTGGAACGCCCTCCCTGCTGACATTAGACAGGCGCCCTCCCTTATGGCTTTCCGTAAGAGCCTAAAGACCTGGCTATTCGGGAAGGCATTTAATTGAGACCTACACGAATCTGGTAATGACATCTGGAACGGACTATGGATTATGAGTTTGGCTATGTCTCTATGTTGTGATGGCGCGGATTTATTAGTGTGATTTAGATTAATGTGTAATGTGGTTATTGATATATTGTATGTTTTTGTAGACTGTTTTTACATGTTGTACACCGCCGCGAGTCGCCCCAGGGCTGAGAGCGGCGGTTAACAAATGAAGTAAATAAATAAATAAATAAATAAATAAATTGTTAGTATTATTATTTAATCTTTTACTCTATTTGTTATTATTATTACATTTACATTATTTTACTCTATTATTATTATTATTATTATCATCATTATTACATTTATTATTTTTCTCTATTATTAATTTATTTTTCTCTATTTGTTATAATTTTATTACATTTTTATTGTGCTCTATTATTATTACATGTATTATTTTACTCTATTATTATATTTACATTATATTACACCATTATTATTTTATTACATTTATTATTTTACTCTATTATTACTATTATTATTGTTATTACATTTGTTATTTTACTCTATTAATACTGTTATTCTTACATTTCCATTATTTTATTATTTTTATGACATTTATTATTTTACTCTATTATTATTGGAAAGATACACAAGCACATTTACAATGAAGGTTAGAATAATGGTTTAATCAGAGTTCGACATAAATTACAGTTTTATGTAAAAATTCATAAACATTTCACCTTTTGATGCCTCAATTAATTTAATTTCATTGATATCTATTTTTTATTTTGAAATTGGCCCATAGCTGCTGCATTTTCCACCCTCGGCCTATACTCGAGTTAATACCATTTCCCATTTTTTTGTGGTAAAATTAGGCACCTTGGCTTATATTCGGGTCGGCTTATACTTGAGTATATGCGGTAGTTGGAAGAGACCTACATGGGCTATCCAATCCAACCCCCTGCCATGCAGGAAAAGCACAATCAAAGCACCCTCAACAGATGCCCATCCAGCCTGTTCCACCACACCCCAAGGCAAAGAATTCCACTGATTACAATCTTTTGCACTGACACATGGAAATGGATCCACACTGAATACACCAAATGCTGGGAAAGTGTTAACAACATATTCTCATTGGTTACCCTGAAACACAAGTGCCTTTTATCCTCCCTGCTTTTCCCACACTCTCTCATTTCTAACCTGCTTACCTCTCCTTTGCCAGGCAGGTAGACTTGCACTCCTCGGGAGCCCTGGGCTGTGACTGGGTGAACCAACAAGGCGTCACCTGCAAAGAAAACATCACTTTGCACTTTGTTTTTTTCACTTTTCTCTTTGGCATTTGGGGTAGTCTGTGCAGTTCCCAGAAGGTTCCAGGGCAGTAAACTCAGGGAGAGACTACACTCCCCATTCTTACTCTCAAAGTAAACAAACAAATCCTCAGTTATAAAGGTGAGGAATCACACAAGTTAACACACAACAGGCTCTTGCCAGATGCAATGGAACAATGGAACAGCCAAGCTTTGGGATTTGCCTGTTGAACTCACCAAGGAGATACTGGTCATCCATGCTGTATGTTATAGCATCCTCGGGATATTCTACCCAGAGAGGTCTGTGAAGAGGAAAGAAAGAGGCAGTGGTGAAGATATATTTTCCCTTTCTGCCTCTTTCTATATAATTCAAGGTCATACAAAGCCTTAGTTAAGGAAATGCACAGATGTTATGATATGATCTCTGAACTAATGAAGCCTGTTTCTAATTAGTTCAAAAGGCAGCACAACTTAGATAGCAAATTCCCTAGAGATGCTTTCAGTTTCCATCTGTATCACACTCTTGGTGGAGAGGTCTCCAAGAAGCACAATAACTATACTGCAGTGTTTCTCAACCTTCCTAATGCCATAATACAGTCCCTATGTTGTGGTGACACCCAATTATTAAATTAGTTTGGTTGCTACTTCATAACTGTAATTTTGCATGTAAATATCTGATATGCAGGATGTATTTCCTATCACTGGACCAAATTTGGCACAAATATCCAATACACCCAAATTTGAATAAAGGTGGGGTTGGGGGGGGGTTGATTTTGTCATTTGAGAGTTATAGTTGCTCGGATTTATAGTTAACCTATAATCAAAGAGCATTCTGAACTCCATCAACAATGGAATTGAACCAAACTTGGCACACAGAACTCCCATGACCAACAGAAAATATTGGAAGGGTTTGGTGGGTTTTGGAATTGTAGTTTTGGAGTTGTAGTTCACCTACATCCAGAGAGCACTGTGGACTCAAACAATTATGGATCTGGATCAAAATTAGCATGAATACTCAGTATGCCCAAGTGTGAACACTGGTGGAGTTGGGGAAAATAGACCTTGACATTTGGGAGTTGTAGTTTATTTATTTATTTATTTATTTACTATTCTTGTATACCGCTGTATCTCAAGCCCGAGGGCGACTCACAGCGGTTTCCAGAAAGCAAACAACAGAGACAGTAAAAACAGCAGTAATCAATATATCACAATAGTTAAACTACACAATTCCATTTCTAACAGTAAACAAACATCAATACACAGTTATCACAAAAAGCCCCCCCCCCCCCGGATCGCCTCATCATCCAAACGTGATCCAAAATTCGTCGTCCATTGTTCCTTTCCTATGTTCAATTTACCAGAGATTGCACTGAATTACTCAAACGCCTGCACAAACATCCAGGTCTTCAACTTTCTACGGAATGTCATGAGGGATGGTGCCAGCCTAACATCTACAGGAAGGGCGTTCCACAGCCGAGGAGCCACCACCGAGAAGGCCCTATCTCTCGTCCCCGCCAACCGTGCTTGAGAGGCTGGCGGGATCGAGAGCAGGGCCTCCCCGGAAGATCTCAAAGTCCGGGTGGGTTCATAGGCCGAGATGCGGTCAGATAGGTATCTTGGGCCGGAACCGTTTAGGGCTTTATAGGCCAATACCAACACCTTGAATTGGGCCCGGTAGCAAATCGGCAGCCAGTGGAGCTGGTGCAACAGGGGGGTTGTGTGCTCCCTGCGCTCCGCTCCTGTTAGAATCATGGCTGCCGTGCATTGGACTAGTTGCAGCTTCCGGGCCGTCTTCAGGGGCAGCCCCACGTAGAGAGCGTTGCAGTAGTCTAGGCGGGATGTGACAAGAGCATGTACCACCGTGGCCAAGTCAGACTTCCCAAGATACGGGCGCAGCTGGCACACGAGCCTGAGCTGTGCAAATGCTCCCCTGGTCACCGCCGAGACCTGGGGCTCCAGGCTCAGCGGCGAATCCAGGGTCACACCCAAGCTGCGAACCTGTGTCTTCAGAGGGAGTGCGACCCCATCCAACACAGGCTGTAACCCTATACCCTGTTCGGCCTTGCGACTGACCAGGAGTACCTCTGTCTTGTCTGGATTCAACTTCAATTTGTTCGCCCTCATCCAGACCGTCACAGCAGCCAGGCACCGGTTCAGGACTTCGACAGCCTCCTTAGTAGAGGGTGGGAAGGAGTGACAGAGTTGGACATCATCTGCGTACAGATGACACCGTACCCCGAAACTCCGGATGATCTCACCCAGCGGCTTCATGTAGATGTTAAACAGCATGGGAGACAGAATAGAACCCTGAGGAACCCCACAAGACAATGGTTGTGGGGAAGAACAGGTGTCCCCCAATAACACCTTCTGGGAACGACCCTCCAGAAATGACTGGAGCCACTGTAAAACAGTGCCTCCGAGACCCATTTCCGCAAGGCGCCCCAGAAGGATACCGTGGTCGACGGTATCGAAGGCCGCTGAGAGGTCCAGAAGCACCAACAGGGACACACTCCCCCTGTCGAGCTCCCGGCGCAGATCATCCACTAAGGCGACCAAGACTGTCTCAGTTCCATGCCCCGGTCTGAAACCAGACTGTGCCGGGTCCAGATAATCCGTGTCTCTCAAGAATACCTGGAGTTGTGAGGCCACCACGCTTTCCAGGACTTTGCCCAAAAAGGGAAGATTGGAAACAGGCCGAAAGTTGTCAAATTTAGTGGGGTCCAGTGATGGTTTCTTCAACAGCGGTTTTATAATAGCTTGTTTTAAGCTCGCTGGAATCTTGCCTTCCCGAAGGGAGGCGTTAACCACCACCGTTACCCACTCAGCCAATCCCCCTCTGGCCTCCTTCAGAAGCCAGGATGGGCAGGGGTCTAGGATGGACGTGGTGGGCCTCATTCCTCCAAGTATCTTGTCCACATCCTCGGGCTTCACCAATTGAAATGAATCCATCAAAATAGGACAAACAGGTGCTCTTGTTACATCCACAGAGACTGCATTTAACATGGTGTCCAGACCAGAACGGATCAAAGCGACTTTGTCTGCGAAGAACCGAGCAAATGCTTCACAGCGAGAAGTCGAGTTGTCAGGGATCCCACCTTGGGTGGTGGGATTCAAAAGGCCTCTGACAATTCGAAACAACTCAGCCGGACGGTTCTTTGCAGACGCAATAGTGGCCGCAAAGAAAGCCTTCTTTGCGGCTTTTATTGCCGCGGCATATGCCCTCAGAAAGGACACAAACCGTGTTCGATTTGGCTCGCTCGGGTCCGAACGCCACACACTCTCTAGTTCCCTCTTCCTTCGCTTCATCACTGCCAGCTCCTCAGTAAACCAAGGCGCTGGTTTAGCTCGGCTACTTGAGAGGGGACGTTCCGGAGCGATCGTGTCAATTGCCCTAGTCATCTCCCCATTCCAGAGAGCAACCAGGGCATCGACAGGGTCACCTACCGAGGCGGCGGGAAACTCCCCAAGAGCCGTCAGGAATCCATCCGGATCCATAAGCCTCCTGGGGCGGACCATCCTAATAGGTCCTCCACCTCTGCAGAGGTTAGGGGGTGCAGTGAGCCTAAATCTGACCAGGTAGTGGTCGGTCCATGGCAACGGAGAGATGGTCAACTCCTCAACACCGCCACCTTCCTCCCATCCCTGGCAGAAAACTAAGTCCAATGTATGTCCTGCACTGTGAGTGGGGCCAGTTACTTGTTGGGACAGCCCCATGGTTGCCATGGCAGACATGAAGTCCTGAGCTGCTCCGGAAAGGGCCGTCTCGGCGTGGACATTGAAGTCCCCCAGCACAAGGAGCTGCCGGGACTCCAACGCCAGGCTCGAGACCACCCCCGCTAGCTCAGGTAGGGAGACTGTAGTGCAGCGAGGTGGACGGTACACTAACAGAATCCCTATTCTGTCCCGGTCACCCACTCTCAGGTAGACGCCTTCAAAATTTGTAGACTGCGGGATGGGGCCCCTGGTCAGAGGGATGGAATCTCTATAGACCACTGCAACCCCGCCTCCCCGCCCTCCGGATCTTGGTTGGTGCTGCACGGAGAAGCCTGGTGGGCAGAGCTGGGTGAGATTCACCCCCCCAGCCTCGTCCAACCAGGTCTCCGTGATGCACGCCAGATCTGCCCGCTCATCCAAAATTAAATCTTGGATGAAGGTGGTTTTTCCATTGACAGATCTGGCGTTCAACAACACCACCTTCAATCCAGAGGGACCGCCAACCTGGTTACACCAATTTACCATATAAGGAGACCGGTTTGGAATTACTAATGTTGGTGCACGATCCCTAGGCCGAATTGTTGGTCTCCTTGTTCCGCATCTCCCCTTCCCCACCACCACTTCTATGGGGGCCCCTCGGCTGATGGAACACCCTCCCCCCTCCATGCCACCTTCCATCCCTGTAATCTCAGTTTGCGTTTCATTGTTAATTGAATAGCTTGTTGCGGTCTTAAACCAATCCGCGTTTCCATTCCCTCTGCTTCCCCCCCCCCGTCCCATTGTTTCCCCCAGTCTCCAGCCCGCTGCGATCCCTGACCTCCCCACAGAAGATTAACAGTACAAATAGAAGGTACCAAGGGATGGGGGAGCACATGGATAACAGTTATCAATACACTTTTTAACGCTTCACGATCTCAATGTGTAGCGGATACTCTCTCTAGGCTCTTAAAGTGCGAAGTGCAATGTGCTGTTGGTATCTAACCAGACTTATTAAAGTGCAGCATGGAGGTAAAGTGCTAAGATGGATCAATAGCAGCATAAAGTAGTTGCTGGGATTTATAGTTCACCTACAATCACAGAGCATTCTGAACCCCATCAATGATAGAATTGGGCCAAAGTTCCCACATGGAACCTCCCTCCAGCCTCGCACTCTCCCTCATCTGCACATGCACACCACGCTGCCATGCACCGAGCATACTTGCTCTTCCCTTGGAGAGTCTCAAAAACAGCCCTTCCCTTGGCTGAGAGGCCGGCCAATCATGGCGGAGGAGGGCTTTTGGTGGGAGGATTTGCCATCTGTTTTCAAAAAGGAAGAGAAGGACAGGGAGAGATATTCAGCCATCTCTGCAAAGGTGTTCCTAAGACCATCAGAAAAATGTGTTTTCTCTTCATGCCTGGCCGAGGGAGATGGTTGACGTTCCTCATTTGGTCCCAATCACCTCCGTCGAGGCCACTGCTCCATGTCAGGGGGGGCGGTGGAACTGCAGGAGTGGGGAGGCCTCTCTTGAGCCCTTGATGACTCTTCCTTCCTTCCGTCCTTTCCACCCGCCTTTCTTTCCTTCTTCTTTTTCTTCCGCCGGCGCTGGCTGCCCTCGCCCCCATGCATCCTGCCCTCTACTCCCGGGCCAACATGATATGCGAGATCACCGCGGCTGTGGGCTTCATTGCCAAGTTCCTGCGCACCAAGGGGCTCATGAACGAGCAGCAGCTGCAGACTTTCAGCCAGAGCCTCCAGGAGCTGCTGGCAGAACACTATAAACACCACTGGTTCCCAGAAAAGCCATGCAAAGGATCGTGCTACCCTGTATCCAGATCAACCATAAAATGGATCCCCTGATTGGACAGGCGGCGCAGCGGATTGGGCTCAGCAGTCAGGAACTGTTCTGTCTCCTTCCAAGTGAACTCACTCTCTGAGTTGACCCCTTCGAGGTCTCCTATCGGATTGGAGAGGACGGCTCAATCTGTGTGCTGTATGAAGCCACGCCAACAGCACCTAGCCAAAGTAGCACCAGCATGCAAATGGTAGACGCCAGCCCCTCCAAGAGCTACAACATGACAGTATCAGGTTAAGATGTGTATCCCATGGATGGATCATCTTATAATGAATGGATAAATTTGGTTTTTACTTTGGGTGGGCTCCTCTGGGGATAGATTATGGAATTTAAACCATGTCACAGCTGTGAAGACCTGGCACAACCTAAGAGTGGTAAACGTTATTTTATAGTGGCAGTGCCATTGTTTCGACAGTACCTTTCAGAGATTTAATAGCCTGTGAGTAAAGATGATCATTTTATTTCCAAAAGTGTGAAGTTGTCCCAGGAAGGCTGCAGGTTTCTCCCAGTTGTCTTGCTTAATGTTTTCTTCTTGAAAAAAGCAACAATTCTTTCAGCTGAAATCTATAGCTATAAAATTTATCTCTGCCGTAAAGGTTGCAGAGCAAATTTTCACTATACATTTTTAAAGGAAAAAAATGTTACCATTTTTGGCAGCTCAGTAACAAGACTCGTTCTGAACATGACAGTACTGGAAATTTTATCTGACAAGACTTTTTTCTAGCACTTAACAGTATGTGTAAACTGTTCACATTTAGTGGGCATGAACTGGGAAGAAATGGTCAGATCTCTGTTTGTATATTGGCCTTCAATGTAGCAAGTGAACAGAATCTGCTATGCCAACAGGCTTGAGAGAGACCATACAAAGACACTGTCTGAACTGTGGTGTGTTTTACCAGCCAGCTATCTGTACATTTGCTAGCTTGTAGTTTTCTAAGATTGAGTAAACCTCTTATTTTTAGAAAGTGGAAATCTGGCTTGTAATTTCCTTCTTTTCCACAAACCACCATCTATTTTTGTGAACTTTGTTAGTCATCTTTTTTTTCCTTTTTGGTAAATTTGTACAGTTCATGTATATTGATTGTGGCGAAGTTGTACAGATTTCTATATTTTGGATGAGAAACTTTTCTTCTCTCTATTATAAATTGTTTCCTATCTTGGCATTAAAAAAATGTTTTCTCATAGTCTCTGGCAACCCCTCTGAAACCCCCTTGTGGCCCCCACCCCCAGAGGTCCCAACCCTCAGGTTGAGAAATGCTGCTATACTGTGATATAGTTTGACCCTTAAGAAGACTACAACTCCTGCATTACACCACATTAATGATCTAACACAGCAAACATAGCTTGGAAGATGATGCGCAAAGAGAGATTAGGTCTATTTCTTCCTTCCTTCCATCCAATCCAATACTGTTACTAAAGTTTGAATTCTCCCTGTCGACAGAACTTTACCGCATGGCAGGCTGGCCAGACTGGTAGCTGTGGTACATGATGGTATACCAAAAGGGCAGCAAAGCATAGCGCTGGCGGATGGCTTCCCGAATCAGCGCCTTATTCTCCTCCCCAAAGAGCCATGGCTCCCGGCGGATGGTGTCCACATGGGCATGGGCCCGGAAGAACGGCTGATACGCCCCGGCTTGGTACCAGCGCACCAGCAACTCGGGCTCAGGGTTTTTGAAGAAGCCACCTATGTCAGCTGAATAGGATGACAAAAGATGGAGAGGCGTCCTTTAAAATAACTGTCTTTGAAGGAAAACAACAACAATTAGGCCAAATCTAACATCATTACAGCCCAGAACCATTATGAAGAAGTGGAGAAGCCACAAAGTTGAATCTTGTCTTTCTAGGGTCTACATCTTTATCTCTGGGGTTCTTCAAGAGGCTGAGCCCATCACACCATCATTTGATGTTTTGTACATGCGTCCTCCCATTCTGAAAAAGCTGATCTGCCTCTCCTAAACTGAGACAGATTTTGTAAGAGCTTGAAGATAAAATATATTGCTACATTTAATCGCACCCCATTACTTCCTGTTCTTCCCAACACGGGGACTCCTATCTACAAGAAGTACTCTGAAATTAAATCGAACCTCTGAATTACAAGAGGCTCTCTACTCTTGAGCAACAGCATATTGATTTATTTCTATGAAACCAGCCCTTACCTCCACAAAAAGAAATACCCACAAGGCTCAAGCTCAGACACATGGGAATTGAGATCTTCAAATGGTCCCATTCTGCTGCATTGTCCCCTGTCCACACAGCCCCTAGAGAAGAAACACGATATATTTATAGGTAAAGGTTTCCACTTGACATTAAGTCTGGTCATGTCTGACTCTGGGAGGTAGTGCTCATCTCCATTTCTAGGCCAAAGAGCCAGTGTTGTCCGTAGACACCTCCAAGGTCATGTGGCCGGTCTGACTACATTACCTTCCCGCCGGAGTGGTACCTATTGATTTACATGTTTTTGAACTGCTAGGTTGGCAAGAGCTGAGGCTAACAGCGGGAACTCACCCCACTCCCTGGATCTGAACTGCCAACCTTTCAGTAAGCAAGTTCAGCAGCTCAGCGGTTTAACCTGATGCGCCACCAGGGGGGATCTTTATATATATATCCACACACACATGCGTATACACATAAAAAATCTCTTAATCTTTCTCTTTCCTGTGGTTACCCCTCAGATCTGAAAACTCCTTTTTTGCCTTAATCACAGTATTAAGAGCTTGTGTAGGAAAATATTAGTGTCCAGAGCAATAGTGGGGGACCTCTCTTTAAAATTACCAATCTCCTATTCCTTTTACCATTTACTTGGTTATCTCTAGTCTGAAAGATAAATTAGGATTGCATCCTCATGATCCAGAACAAAAGCATGTTTCAATAAGAACATAGGAAGCAATGTTACTGCAAGTCACAGAAATAGTCCATCTAAATCAGTGGTTCCCAACCTGTGACCCGTGGACCACCAGTGGTCTGCAAGAACGAAAAACATGGTCTGTGGCCTTAACATTACTACACTGTTGCCTCGAAACCAGTGTAGGGGAGAGGCTGACTACCCACAAAAGGGGAGAGGCTGACTACCCACAAAAGATTCCTACTACCACATCAGCTCTAAATCATTAAATATGGTTTTCTGTGGGCAAGCAGGTGGGAACTACTGGATGGCATATGTTCTGTATCAAAAACTAGAGCTGATGTGGTCTACCCAATGCAGTTTTCAGAATCAGCACCCCAATAACCACACTGAATCTAAAGTTGATCAAAACTGATTTGTAACCCTTTTGGTACTAATGTTGGACAGTGGTCCTGGTCAAAGGTTGGGAACCACTGATCTAAATCAATATTGTCAATGCCGTAAATTCAAGCAAAAATCTTTCCAACTCTGTAAATGCCAGGGATTGAAATAAATGCACATACACACAACTAACCATAGCGTTGAGAGCCTGCAAAGAAACCGCGTGTCAACACAAACGGGCGCTCCATGCTGCCAGATCGTTGCACCTGCCCCTGTGCTGTTGCCATTTGCTGTGAGAGGAGGAAAAGAGCGCTAAGTTATATCGAAATCTGAAATTAAAATCAAACCCATCTGTCTGGGAGATAATCCCAAATATCTAAGTCCAACATCCATGAGGCTTATGCCATGTCTACTTGTCCGAACGCATCTGCCTGTACGTCCCACCTCGTAACTTAAGATCATCCGGGGAGGCCCTGCTCTCGCTCCCGCCAACATTGCAAACGCGGCTGGCGGGGACGAGAGACAGGGCCTCCTTGGCTGTAGCCCCCTGCCTGTGGAATGCGATCGACCCCATCCCTCCTGGCGTTCAGGAAGAAATTAAAATCTTGGTTTTGGGACCAGGCTTTCGGACAATAAACATAAAGCAGCACTTTGACTGGAAATGGATTGACAAGACAATACGTATGATACGGTTTTATGGTTCTATCAGTGGGTTTGTGGACTGAGTATTGTTTTAATGACTTATGATAATTTGGTTGTAATTAACTGCTATTGTTTTAACTCTGTATGTATTTATGGTTGTATACTGTGTTATTGACTGTGGCATCGAATTGCTGCCTTTGTTAGCCGCTCTGAGTCCCCCGTCCCCCCCCCCCCGGGGGGGTTGAGAAGTGTTGGGTAGAAATGCTGTAAATAAATAAATAAATAAATAAATACTCCATGGGACCCAGATTCTCTTAGAAAACACAGTTTTCGCACTCACCACATAGAAGGCATAGAGGTTGTGGATATCCCGGTGCTCCCACCCGCCCCAGTGCACAGCGTCCTTGTGCATCGTCACCTCAGGGCCATTAAAGACAGAGGGCTCGTTCATATCATTCCAGGTGAAGAGGTTCTCCATGGAGCCCTGAAGACAATGGAAAGGGGGAAACAATTATAGGGCAGAGCAGGGGTGGATAGTCGCGTATGGCGACTTTAAGCTGCTCCTCATAGGGCTTGTTCTTCAGACCCTTGATCATTTTAGTCACCCTCCTCTGGACACATTTCAGCTTGTCAATCTCTCTCTTCAATTGTGGTTGCCAGAATTGGACACAGTATTCCAGGTGTGGTCTGACCAAGGCAGAATAGAGCATGGAGAACATGATTTCCCTGGATCTAGGCACTAGGTTCTTATTTATGCAGGCCAAAATCCTACTGGCTTTTCTTGCCACCACATTACATTGTTGGCTCATGTAAAGGTGTGTTTTTCTCCTACCTCATACTGGTCATAGCCAAACATGCTGGACCACCAAGTACGCATCTCTGGATTGGTAAAGTCTGGATAGCCTGCAGAACCTGAATGGGAGGAAACAAAGAAGAGCTTAGAGCAGAATCAATTAAACAGCTGACCACCTCTTGCTGTCAAATAGCAATCTGAAGAAGAATATATATATATATACTAGCTGTCCCCTGCCATGCGTTGCTGTGACCCAGTCTGTTGATCTGGCAAATAAAGTAATGAGAAAGTGTTGGTTTCTAATATATGTAATTTCTTTCTGCTTGTGGGTAAACAGTATTTCTTGCTGTTTCTTTGTCAGCGTTGATGTGGAGATTGTCTGGTTTGCCCATCCTGGAACATGGAACATATAGTTGTCCTTCTTGAAGGGTCCCTTTCAAATCTATGATACTATATCTCTGTGCGTGAATCATATCTATCTATCTATC